AAACTACTTCCTTGTTACATTTCTAGAGAATTGTATGAAAGGATATTGAAGAAATGTATCTCGAAGTAGACGAAATAAAGCAACCTCCGTCTGATTAGCAAGAGCAGCTACATCGTGTTCCATATTTTAATTCCACAGAAATTGTGCTAACACCTTTTCTATTCAGTATGGGATTCGGCAAGAAAAGCTTTCCATCAAAACCTATATGTGCTTTCACGGAGCACACTACTAGAATCAATACTCGCTCTAATAACAACTCCACAGAAGACGACATATATATCCATAAATACAGAAAGATACATGCATAAATTGTATAGATATAGATAATACTAAATTATTTAGATAATCGAATTCAATGACAGCTTCTAATATAATTTCAGGATCTTCCTAATCTCTTCCCAAAAATATCAAGACCAAAATCTTCAGTATGAAGTCTTCGATCAATATATAACAGTAGTGCGTCACAATCAAGCTAATGTAATCGTAACTATAAATCAATAATAAAATTTAAAAAAAAGAAGAAAATCAATATCGTTTCTTAAGTACCACCTTTGGCTTCTTCAACATTTACACAAATACCTCCATTTGTGTTTTCGGCACGAATTACTATGGTAACAAGTTTAAATTTTTTCAAAAGTTTTACTCACTTCCATATTAATATCATTACCATCAATATGAGATAAAAGTTATATACATGTTACATCAGCACCTAAACGACTCCATACAGAACCCTATATAAGAAATCATCAGTAATACATTTTATGACAAAATAAAAATTAGTTAAAAAGAAAATGAAATTCATACTAATTCAAGTCCAGTAACACCTGCTCCAATTAAACCCATCTGTTTTCGGTACTTGTTAAAGTGAAAGTGCACCTGTCGATTAAATAATCATTTCTTAATCTATTCAATATTTGTAAATTAAGTGACATAGCTACTACTATAATTAGGTTTTATTTTACACTAAAACTAAAATGTTAATGACATACATTCAATGCTTCGTTTTTTAAGTTCGCCATCACGAGCTATATGGTAAAGATAGAAATTATGAAATAATTCTTTCGAAGGAATGCAATCTATATTAAGATATGTTCCACCATATGTTGCATATTTTTCAATACATGTTGTCTAAAAATCAATTTTTATTGAAAAAAATACAAAATGAAGTTTATCAATAAACTTCAAGACCAAATTGTACAGCTTTAATAGATGCGCATGTGCTCCTACCAGAGCCAATAACTACAAGATCAAATCATTGTTCTAGAAAGTTAAGAAGGATAATTAATAGATCGATATTTATTCTTTCTTCTCACCACTACTCGATGATGACGAAGCATTTCGAAGTCAAACAGTACGTGAACAATTAAAACAATGATTTTCAATCTTCAAACAACAAATTAAAATATGATAGGTTTTGTTGAGATCAGAAAAAGAAAACCGCTTACTTATTTCCAAGATACAACTTTTGAGAACATCTGAAAAGTATAGACAAAATTAATATTCATGTATTTATATATAAGAAAATCCCGTGTTATAGATTTAATGTGTTAGATATAAGATGAACCATCAATAACTATGCCATTTTCATCATTATGAAGCACAACATCCTCTGTCATGCACAAGCACGCTAATCAAAATGCCGCTAGAGTGCAACCAACAGTAAAAAACCTGAGATAGGAATCATAAAATTATCGAACATAGGACGTACTTAATAAAAAAGAGTTCGGCTTTTTGTACATTCGATGCACCAATGTCTAAAACCAACAATCCCAAAACTTTTAGTGTTCGATATCCTTTTTTCAGAAACTAGTCAATACCGACTGTATGCCACTATCATATGTTTATGAGAAAAAACAGCAAAAAAAGTAGCCTTGTAAAGTGGTACTTGTGTTCGTTTCAACGAGTTTTTCAAATTTTTTAATAAATCATACTAAAAGAATAGAGAATTAAAAGCTGAACTCATCAATTTAATACACTGTTGATTGACTCGAGTTTTATAAGACCAACATGAATGAAAAATGACTCTTTCGATGAATCTTAAATGTCCATTTGATAGCAATCTATCTCCTATCGCGGTTCAAAACCAGAGAGTTGCAATCTGAATTTTATACATATTACGCAACCATTCATTCTCTACAAAATGGTAAAAAGAGAAACAGTACATTCTACACGAAACGGGTTTCTCATCTTCTTCTTAGTCATAACTGTTTTTTTATGATTTTTTAATAGAAAAGAACACTATCGGTTTTCATTACCATGACAAAATGGTAAATCAAAAGTAACACGACATTCGGTATCAGTATCAAAAACTGCATTGAGTCAAACACATTTTAGAGATTTATTGGCTCTGAAAAATTCATTTGTGGTCCCACAGAACTGTATTTCACTAAACCTTTGCTCGGTAGATCAGTTTTTCGCACGAAGAAAATTCTCTAAAATGTGTTTGACTCAATGTAGGTTTTGCCGCTGGTTCCGAATGTCACGTTTATTTCCTTTAACACTTATGTCATGGCAATGAGAACTATTAAAATGTTCTCTATGGAAAAATCATCAAAAAACATTAGGTGTGAAAGGGAAATGTAAACCCCTTTTTTTTCTTCGGCGTACTAGTTCTTTTTTTACCATTTTGTAGGGAATAAAGTTGCACAGTATATAAAATTCAGCTTGAAACTCTCTGATGCTAAAGCTTGATGGAAGATAGATTGTTATCAAATGGATATTTCAAGACTCATCGAAAGAGCGACTTTTTATTTATGTTGGTCCTATAAAACCTGAGTCAATCAACGATATATTATACTGAAGTGTTCAATTTCTAACTTTTTGTATCTTTCACCAAATTTATAACAAAATTTGTATGATTCATTGAAACGAAAGCAAGCACGACTTTTACAGTCTATGTTTTGTTGCTTTTCTCATATGTATATGATAATAGTATGAAGTCGGCGTTGGCTCATTTTTGAAAGAAAGGATATTACGCGCTAAAATTTTGAGAATGCTGTTTTGAGACGTCGATGCATTAAATGCATAAAGAAGAAAAAAAAACGAATTTTTATCGAGTACTTCACTACTCAATGGTTTCATGATTTCTTTCTTGAGTTTCAGTGTAGAATTCACTAGCCGATAGCATATCAGATGTTCCACCGTGATGCAACCAATTAGTATAAGTAAAAACACTCTAGCATCATGAAATCCATTTTTTCTCTGGCATTAAAGTTTTATTCTATTTTGTTTTGAAATATTGGAGTGCCTGTCATAATCCAAAAGTAGGTCTCATCAACCCGTTTTCTTCTCACTGACATCGAACTTTAATTATATCTTATCAAGCTATTAAATCGGAAGCAACGGTACAGGAAGTTTTCTTTCCGGGCATGATATCAAAATCATCTTCAAATTCCGATAATAACTGTGTTATTAAAATCAAATTACTTTCTTCCATTACGCCTACAGTGATACAGTAATATTTTATCAATTTAACTTTATCATGAAATATTGTAAATTCATTGTGACATGAAATAGAATATATATTTAAAGCATTGATCAACACATTTTACATTTAGTTTTGCACTACTCTAAGTTTAAATAAAATTTATATTCATTGACAATGCATTCGTTAAATCAAATCCTGTTTTTATAAACAAGTTAGTACTTTTCTAACACTATCGTAAATATGTTGATAGATTCATTTCGTCTGTTCTACTTAAGTTTAGATTAAAGTTTTTCTCTCTAATTTTTTAATCTAATCTTCGTTCGTACGGCTATATCTGACCCTGTTATCTTTTTTTGATTTAATTTATATGCATAGCTTTGACTGGACATCCTTCTTTTTTGACACCACTCGTAGATCTTTAACTCTGATCGTTCATCTATACGGTCTCCTAATTCTATCAACTTCACCTGGATGCTATTCCTAGTGAAAAAATTCACGAGCTTTGAGTGTTCACCGGTACTACTAGTCTTGTAATATTGAGTGGTTCTTGACTATTCTTATTTGCTTTTTGTAAACTCTGGTGGTTTTTGTAGAATTATTCATCAGCGTATATTCTGTTTCATATTGTTCTAAGACATTCATTTTATTTCACTATTAAATTAACAATAAGATAGAGACATATACAATAATAATTTAAATAACAAAATCAGTTTAAGGAACAAATATATTAATTTAACTGTATCATTTTTGTATAAAGGATAGAGATAAACTTCCTATTTTTAGAAAGTAAAGCAATAGCTTAAACAAAAGTCAGTAGAAAGAATAAATGATATATTATTCAAATACATTGAAAAATCCCGTGACAAATGAACACTTGATCTTAATAGTTACAAAACAACAACAAACGGATATTTGTAAATAGATGAATATCTTTCATTTAGTATTTCAAAAAAACAAAGTAAAGACTAATCCATTATGCACATTTGTTCGCACTACCGCCAGTAGACGGTGATATCCATCAGAGCTGCTAGCAGATCATTGTTTTTCCAGCGTGACCTGCAGGACAAATCAGATCAACTAATGTTTTTTTTAAACCCACTGAGTTCTATAACCTTATTATAATGCATTATTCTGCTTTCAGTTATATGCTTCATTTACTTTCATAAAGATAGTATAATGACAAATTCTTGGCCAATGTAGTAAATTAAAACAAAGAGACAATTTAGCAAAGACATTTTTCATACAAGGGTGTGGATGATTGTGTATAAAGTGATGACCCACACCTTCAATACATCATTAGTTTTTGGCGCCATCTTCAAGTTATATTAGAGAAAATATTATTACATCATACACACCCAGAACGAGCATTACAGCAACCAGACACGGCAGTATACGGCCGTTTACGGCGTCGTATACTGCCGTATACGGCGATTTTACGGCCGTAAGCGGCCGTAAATTCGCCGTATTTCCATGGACCGTATTACGACCGTAAATCGCCGTGTCGTATACGGCCGTATACAGCCACCGTTTACGGCCGTACACGACACGGCGATTTACGGTCGTAATACGGTCCATGGAAATACGGCGAATTTACGGCCGNATCCATCGACCTTTATATGCATTAGTTGAAATTACCAAATCGAAGATGGAATGTAATCTTACATCACTTCAATCAAATCTTGTCCCAATACCGTTAATGGAACAAACATTTCAAATTAATATTACCGATGTTTTACCAAAAGATAAGAGACCAAAATCAAATCGAAAGGCAACTTTATCAATAAAGCGGTGTGCATTACCACTCGTACCTGCTTACTGTATTACTACACATAAAAGTCAAGGTCAAACTTTAAATAATGTTGTAATTGATTTGACGCTACCCAAGGAAAATGATGATATTGCTGCAATTTATGTACCTTTGTCACGTGTAAAACGCTTGGCAGATCTCGTCATTTTACGACATTTTGATTACCAGGTTTTATTGATCAAACCAAGTAAATCACAACTTGCAGAAATTGAAAGACTAGATAAACTATATTCAGAAACACAAAAACGTTTTTCTCAGTGGTTTTAATGTTTTTCTATATTATGCAAGATTTTATTTGTCAATATGCAGGGTTTACGCTGCATAAAGCGTAGTAGAGAGTTTTGTTTTTATTGTGCTAATTTTTATATTATATCTTTCTTCTCTATCTTGTTTACATATTCCATTACGTTATAGTTATCTCGCAGTTGCGCTTGATGTACATATTATTATGCCATATTATGCAATAAGTTGCGTTTTGTCATTTTATAAGTTCATAATGTAATACTGTTTATTATATATTTATTTCTGTTTTAATCTGTTATGTCATCATTATTGCTAATAAATCATTTATGCTTCTACTATTGCAAATAATACTTTTGATCTAAAGATTCTTCTGACCATTGTGAATAAATATACTCACATTTCAAAATGCTGTAGTAAATATTTTGTTAGAAGAGTTCGGCTTACTAATTACAGTGAAGTTAGGTATAGATAATTCGGTTTTCTTTACAGCCTTTAGTTGAAAATGATATTTATTCTAAATTATTCCACAAAACCGTAAAAGTATTTCTTACAATATTTACAATTGCACTAAAATTTAAATCGTTTCAATAAGAAGATTTGCACATCGATTGTATCGATATCAATATTTATGTAGTATGTTTTAGCCTTACACAGTCGAGGGTCAAGTGAGTCGAAGCGACGAACGTTACTTGTTATTAATCACAGATTAAAATAGACCTGATAAACTGCATTTGTTTTAAATTCAATATTCTTACACGGAATTAATGGTTTCAACATAAAATTTCAGGAAGCTCTAACGAGTGAACATTCTCAAGTGTCAGAATACTTTTGTGCTGATACTTTACGCATCTTGTAGACCTTAATGAACCATATCTACTATACAAAGAGCTCGTACCCTTAGCTTGTTTCTGAAGAGATCGAACATTTTTACTGTTACAGCCATCAGAGTTATCTTATCAAAAAGAAATTACTATTCCAGCTAGTATAAATTGAAACGAGTTGAAATTTTGCTCCTCTATAGTTGTACTCATGTAGAAAGATAAGGTAACAGCATGAGCACAAAAGAGCCTGAAAAAGCAGAGGCATCAATTTTAGAAAAATGTTAACGTTGCTGTAAATGTCAATTACTATGCTATTTCCTATAATGACGAGATATACAGCTGAAAATTTTAGAACATAAAGCAAGGTAGGAATAATGCAAAGTTAAGGCAATTTTTTTTTCGTTTTTTTTACATGGTTAGATAGAGCTCGTCAAGCTGAGTAAAAATATTTATATATAATCTTTTTTTTTGAAAGGCTTTTGATAAAAAAATTCAAGTTTTTCTCCATGGCCTGTTATGACTAATTTTTTTCTAAAAGGTCAGTGCATTTTAAAGCTTTATCAATAAAAACAAAATTGTTCATTTCGTTGACATTCTAAAACTAATATATCCAGATTCTTCATGAGAAACTGTGTCTATGACACTTATTTCGAAATAAGTGTCATAGCCACAGTTTCTCATGAAGAATCTGGATATATTAGTTTTAGAATGTCAACGAAATGAACAATTTTGTTTTTATNGCCGCCCCCCCCCCCCCCCTAAAAAAAAGTCAATTTTCGTCAAAAACATGAAAATTGAGATAAGTGTGTGAGAAGATAGTCGGAAGTCTGCCCTTTCAAAAGAGATATAGCTTTTTATTTCGTACATCGTTTTAGCAAAAATTTTTGATGTTTTCCGTCACTACCTACTTGAAAAATAAGGTGTTTTTGGTGAAATCAAAAAATCTTTTTCGTTTTTTCTCAGTTCATGATTTGTCGAACGCCCAAACCAAACTTCTCCGCCCAGGCTAATTATGTAGGATGGTCCAAAAGTAACCGGGTAGTCTTTGATTGCGAATCACTTCTGATAGGAACAATATAGAGAGCTCCAGTTTTCATCGTTTAAAAGAGAAAAAGACTGCATCAAATCTTGAATAGCAGATTTTTATGACAATATTCACTCGGAGTCTCCAGAATTTTTTTGTAATAGAAATTATTGTGTAATGTGAAAGTTTTAGAATTTTAATTTCCAGTAGTGAATCAGAATCTTTAACTAAAGTTCAATAATCTGTGTGGGTTCAATGCCAAAAAGATTTAGCAAATCATTAGTTCTTAACATTTTACTACGCGTTCTCAGCAGATTCTTCGCGAAAAGCCGATGTTTTCTCTGATTTCTTGACGAAAAATCTACCTTTTAGATCTATTTAAAAAGCCTAAGTTTTTTAAATAAACTTGTCCGAAAACCATGAGAAGTTTTGTTATAAAAATCCGGTATTCAAGATTCGATGCAGTTTGTTTTCTCTTTTAAACGATAAAAACCGCAGCTCTCTATCTTGTTCCTATCAAAAGTTATTCGCAATCAAAGACTGCTTGGTTACTTTTGGACTACCTTGTATGCATTTAATTTTTTTGTTTGAAACAGCATGTCAAAACGTGCGGCACCAAAGAGTCCTTCTTCTTAGTTAAGCTTTTTTCTGTTACATGTACAATCACTTTTATAAATTGAGCTCCATTTGTAGAGAGTTTTTTGACTCATCAAACTTGTGATTTCTTCTCTCCTTTCAAGAAATAAAAGTTCAAAAAAAATGAGTCTTTGGTGCCCTGCATCCTGACATGCTCTTTCAACCAAAAAAAAATAAATATATATAAAGACCCTGGGTCAAAAAATTTGGGATGCCGAATCAGCCATTTTTGAACCTTGAGTGGTGGATATCTCTGTCAAACGTCATGGTTTAGAACCTAAAGTTTTACGATAGCTTCTCCACTACAGCTGCAACATATTCTCCGAATGTCATGGCATTAGAATGTTCCTGTACTGATATTGATTTTTGAGGGCGGAGAGACCTTAAGACTGAGTCATGTGTGTTTGGCCTATTTTGAATGTCTCTATTTATAAGATTTATATTTCAAATTCAAACACTTAAATCAAGATGACGATGATACATTTGTGTATATAATTTGCATATTTCATCTGGATTTATATTGAGATCTTTATAGATGTATGCAGCAGCAAAGAACTAAACAATTTAGAAAATTCAATGGGCAAAGCCTTACTTTTAAAAATTACAATGGGCAACTCTTAAAATGAAATGGGCAATTGCCCATTTGCCCCCCCCCCCCCCCCTTGGCTACGCCACTGGATGACATCGATCATGCGGCACTTCTCGAAGGACTTTCACTGCTGAAGATTCAAAAGAGATGAATTTCTAATCAGATTCTTTTTCTACTTTTGCTATAACTTCTCTCATGAAGAAAATTTTGAAAAAATAATCTTTCATATTTTGTTGACAACTTCAGTAGATTCACTAATGAACATTGAATGTATTAAATTTTCGTTCCAGAGTGCCGCATGATCGATGTCATCCAGTGGCGTAGCCAAGGGGGGGGGGGGGG